TAAGTGCATCAATTGTTTGAGAGGCACAATAGCCACAGTGCTTCATCAGAAGCCATTCACATCCCAAAGAGAATTTTTTCAAAGGGTCCCTGGAAAAGTGAAGAGCAAGTCCTAATTTTCCTATCACTTCCACAGAACTGGTAAGCATCTCCTGCGAAAAGGCAAACCATGGTAAGTTTGAGGGGCAGCAGTTAGTCATTGAACCGGTTTTACACTCAAGTCATTTTTAGAATAAGACTGGCAGCTGCTGAAATTTCACTCTTAATTCCACTGTTATCAGTAATAGCAAAATGTCCCAGTAACTGATTTTAGAGGAAATAGGACTCAGGTTTCACTTTGTATTTTGAGATCTCCCTTCCATAGACAGCCATACAAATGCACTTAGTTTGCAGGAACTAGCTGCAGATTTTTGGATTCCTAATTTATGTCATATTGTATTCCTCCGTATTGTAGTTTTCTTAAGTACTGAGCAACCAAAGCAACTCCCAGATTTAAATCACAACCTTTGTGGAGAAAACAACAAAAAAATCAAGCTCCTTATGCCTCACTTCAAACACTGCTAAAGGAATTCAGCTCATTACATGCCCCATGTGATGGGGTTAGGGCAACACTAATTCCTACTTCTTGGTGAAGCTGCGGCAACTGGTGTTCCTGCTCTAAATACTGCTCTGGTTTTAAGGAGCCTTCAGTGAGATTTAAGTTCTTGAGTTTTACCTTTCAGCCAAGGCAGAGCAAGAACACAAACTTGGTTGGTTAACACAGCTCAGCCAGCGTGTAGGAATGCAATTACCAACACTCTTGTTCTTATGCACTGAGTCACTTTTCCTACAAGCAGATATGAGCCACATCTCAAAGAAAGACATCTATTCAGACTGAAAGAATTACAGTGCCAGTAGAGAGGCAGGGAAAAATACAATTTCAGCATCATCCTGAAAAGCAGCTGGGCTTTCAGGTTCCTGAGGTGTCTGCGAAGTTTCTCTAGATCTAGGGCAGGTGTTTCCTTGGCAGGTTTGTCTTCTTAACTAGAGCGTAATTCTTCCCTCTGTTTCAGTCGTTCTGTCTGCAAGTTAATGAGCCTGAAATTACTGTACACTCACTTGCCCCCCTCTGAGCTCTGATCTGATCTGACCTCAGATGTAGCTGGACTGACTTCTCTCTTTATCAACTGGGGCTGCAGCCTAAAGGGTAGGCTTGATGCTGAAAGCATTAAAATGTAAATCTCAGTTTACTCGAGGAAAAGGGGAGAAAGCACTTTTCAGAGCTTAGGTTTCTATTGGGATCTACCCCTAGAAAGTGTTTTTTAAGCCTAACAGCAACACAGATCAGGACTACCTTTGAGGCAGAGGACTCCAGACAACTGATCCCACAAACAGCAAAGGGAGGACTATTAACTGCTACTTGCCTGTATTCCAAATGACCGCAGGAATTATTTGCCATCATTTTGCTCTTTATAGCTCAACTATTCCTGTATTTTTTTTTTCCCTCTGGACCCCATTTCTTCCTCCATCTGCCTCTGCTGTTTACTCTGTGAGGCTAAACACAGTGCCCATCTACTCACTATGTCTACCATGAAGGTGAAGCCCTCAAATTAAGAGATAATGCTAACTGTAGAACGCTGTATTTTTCCAGTATGTACCCCTGAATCTTAACCAATATAACAAACAACTTTCATCTGAGCCCACATACTAAGTACCTCTCCAAAAATTCAAAAAAGCAGCTTTTCAGAAGAAAACCATACAGAAAACCACAGAAACAGCCATGTCTGGAGCTGAATGCAGCTGCTATTTGTCCAACACAGAATTACAAGAACTACTGCACTGTCCACTGTCCACCTGGTTTCTGGTGAACACACTATGGATTTCTGCATACTTACTATACTTGAGGAGACTCATATGTTTAAAGACTTCACCTGAGACAATAAGGCAGAGTCAGTAAAATGCATTTCCCTTACATCCCATGGAAGGTCAACCCCCTCTCCCCCAGCTGAATACACCAGAATACAGACTGCCAGGCTCTTCACAGAATCACAAGGTTGGAAACGACCTGCAAGATCATCTAGTCCAACCACCCTCCCATTCCTATTAGTACCACAACCTACTAAACCATCTCTCGTAGCTCCTCACCCAGGCGCCTCTTGAACACTACCAGGGACGGCAACTCCACCACCTCCCTGGGCAAGCCATTCCAGTGCCTGACCACCCTTTGAGAGAAAAAGTTTCTCCTAATGTCCAACCTAAACCTCCTAAAGCTCAGGGTCTGTCCCAGCTGCCAGAGCTCTAACCGCAATGAGTTTGAAAAGCATTGCCATCTGCAGGGTTGCACTGACAATGGATTTGCAGGTCTGTGTTCACTTTCTGGGGGAGCCATATTTCAGCTCAGAACCTGCACCTCACAGAATTCTTCCCTGTTCTTATCACTCCTACCTGGGTCGGAAAAGGACAGTTGCTCCTCATGCTAGTGCTGGGTTCCCTCCTCTGCTGCCACAGGAGGCAGTTTTACTCTTCACTGAGCTGAGCTGAAGAGAGAAGTAACTCCAGTCTCCAAAGGAGAACAGGGAAGCTAATGTTCACCCTGGCCTGGCACAAGACCCAGACCCAGGAACCCTTTTGGTAGTGGGTGTCCTCTGAAATGTGCACATAAAATTTCTGTCTAGGTAAAATAAGGTCAGATATTTTACAGAATCACAGAATCACCAAGGTTGGAAAAGACCTACAAGGTCACTCAGTCCCACCACCCACTCAGCACCAACAGTTCTCACTACACCACGTCCCTCAACACAAAATCCAAATGTTCCTTGAACACCTCTAGGGTCGGTGACTCTGCCACTTCCCTGGGCAGCCCATTCCAGTGCCTGACCACACTTTCAGAAAAGCAGTATTTCCTAACATCCAGCCTAAATCTCCCCTGGTGCAGTTTGAAGCCATTCCCTCTAGTTCTATCACCAGTCAAACGAGAGAAGAGGCCGACCCCCTACAACCTCCCTTCAGTAGTTGTAGAGAGCAGTAAGGTCTCCCCTGAGCCTCCTCTTCTCCAGACTGAACAATCCCAGCTCCTTCAGTGCTCCTCATCAGGCCTGTGCTCCAAACCCTTCGCAGCTTTGTCGCCCTTCTTCAAACCCGCTCCAGGGCCTCAATGTCTTCCTTGCAGCAAGGGCCCAAAACTGAACACAGTATTCAAGGTGCGGCCTCACCAGAGCTGAGTACAGGGCAACAATCACTGCCCTGCTCCTGGTGGCAGCACTGTTTCTGATGCAAGCCAGGATGCCATTGGCCTTCTTAGCCACCTGGGCACACTGCTGGCTCATATTCATGTCTAAGTTTCTACTGACTTACAACTTCTAATTTGCAGCTAAACTGTTTATAGTCAGTCCAGTATCCTAATGGCTGCAAGAGTTCTCACCTTCCTTTTCCCAACAATCTTTCTGCCTTACATAATGGTAGCTCAAGATAGTACAGGCAGCCAGGCCTGGCAATCGGATTAAAGTTTGACTCGGTATCAGAATATAAGGCGTTTAGAATAAAAAATATTCCTGCAAATTTTTTATTACCTAAGTTAACAAAATTCTTCCAAGCTCAACTCCCATAGGTGACTTTATTGGATTGTTAACTCACGTACATTTGGCTACCATACACACACAGACCAGTCTCATGCGAGAGACAGCTTGTGACATACACAGGATGCCAGGCATTGTGAAGCTGCTAGGTCTGCATCTTTAACCATAAAGCAAGTTCTCAGTAAGGAAACAGACAGCATATGTGTAAAGGTGCACACAAGTATTTTTCACCTGTACAGCAACACCAAGCATCTTAAAAAGCTCAGATAAAGTGAAATATCTCACCAAGTCTCCTGTGAGAAAACTTCACAATGGCAATATAGGATTTTTTTTTTCCTCTTCTGCTATCCAGAGACATATTTCTCTCTGAAGCATCACTCTGACACCGCTATGAAGATGAAATTTCTCACAGATATACGCTCATCTCTTCTCATCTCAGAAGCAAGGTTAATAGCCTGCTCATTCACTCCTAACCAGTACACTCAAACTGTATCATCTCCCAGATTTGCTAAACACAGGTAGGCCTCCCTTACACCAGGCCTGAGGCTAAGGCAGCACCTCCAGACTCGACTGGAGCCAGGGGGATCTCAGAAGAACAGTTATGGAGTAAAGGAAATAAGCGTTACGCACCAAGAGGAATCAGCTGCTCTCTCCATGTCTGCTCACAGTATTGGTTGCCCCAGTGAGCACTGCTCCGCCTCCACCAGCAACGCCCGTGGGAGCGCGTGCCCCAGCACGTGGCACGAGGGATCGGACTGCTGCCTCAGTCTCAGGGCGCGTGAGATTAGCATATAAATAGCGCCGATGGAGGCACGGCAGCACTGAACCGTGGGTCGTTGGGTGGAAATGAGCCGCTATAAATTCTGCTCCTTACTTAAGGGCTTTCTATACCAACAGCCGACGTGAATTGAAGAAAGGGAGATCTGGTTCTCCCACGACCTGGGGTTTCTCATAGTGGAGAAATGACAGAAACACCTTCACTAAGTATATTTATACACACACACACACACACACACACACACACACACACACACACACAGAGCTATTATTTCAAAGAGACTATTCTACCTCTTTTTGGTGCCTCTTTTCTACCAGGGCTGCAGAGGCACCAGAACATATTCTAACATAATGATCAGGGACAAAAACACTCAAAATATCTTTGCGTACCTTAATTCTGATCTTAATTACCTCACGCACAGAGCAGCTCCTCCTCAGGGCTCACCGCGGCCGCACCTTACCGCTTCGCAGCCCCCCCAAGATTTCCCTCAGCCGCGAGCAGCAAGGCGGGCTCCGGGCACGAGGCGGGCCTCGCCCTTCAGCTCGGCCTCTGCTGTTTGCCAGAGCAAAGTGCCCTTGACGTTGCCAACCCAGAGAGCAGCTTAAATAGAAGAGCAAACACCTGACACCGCTGCTTCCTCGGCAGTCCGTGAGAGAAAGGAAGCCCTACCTGTACAGCGTTGCCCCGCCTCCCAGGTAGGGCCGTTCTCCGACAAAAAACTAGCTCTCATCACGACTCCCCGAAGCCGGGAAAAAAAAACACGGAGCTGAAGTACGGTGAGCAGTGCCTAGCACATTCTGTGGCCTTCTTAGCAGGAAGCAGGGGGTAGGACGTGCTCCTCTACGCAGGAAGCTTGAACAAGTGATTTCTCTCATGAGTAACATGTGACCAAGGAGACAGATGAAAATCTGAAGAAAAAACATGTTCCTCCAGTAAAAAAAAAAAAAAAAAGCAAAAAAAAAAAGTCACATTATAAGGACCAGGGCCCAGTACACAAATTGCCAGAACAAAATAGTGTACTGAGTTTTATTTCATACATGTCAAAAATCTCACAACAAAGTTTTTATTACATTTTCTTTTATTACATTTTCTAGATTAAATATGTTCAGAAGCCTCTTTTTTAAAAACACACAGAAGGAAAAAAATACATTCTTCATGTACATATTAAATACCACATAGCAGGCAGCATGTACAGCGCAAAGTAGGAACATAAGGTATCACCACTGTGGACAATTATCAGGTTTTTCTCCTGCAGTAAAGTTTGAGCAATTCAACATTACTGCTTCCAAAGAGAAATGCATGCCCTTCCTTCACTTTCATGTTATTTTGTGGGATCATGCAGGGAAGTTTTTTACTTTTTAAAGGTATTACAGAAATCCTTGCATCACATGAAAAATTATAGAACTCTACAACTTTACCTCTTTCACACGTTCACTATTAGAGTACAGGTTGTTTTTTTTTTTTTTTTTTCCATTTTAAATAATGATTGCAGCCCAACTCCAAAAATCCAGGGAAAAAAAAAAGATAAATAGAACCTGATAGAGAGAAAGTAATCAATCAGACTGATTGTTGTAGTGTCCAGGAAACAGGTACCCACATGCGCACAAACATACAAAAAAGGTGGAAGATAGTAAGATGTGATTGACCATATCTTATTTATTAAAAGTCCAGAGAAAGTGCATTGGATTGCCTGCGTCACGTCAGCAGTGAATCTTTAGCATCACTCAGTATGGGATGTCATTCTGGTAGTACTGAATCATATCATAGGTCCTACTCCTAGAGAAGAAAAGCAAAGCCAGAGGTAAATGATAAAGAAAAACCAAAACACTGCAACCACTGTCAGAAAAAACAACAATAAGATCTCACAGAAATAAAATATGAGTGAAGCACAAAGACTCTGTGTTTTCGCTGCACTCAGTTTTGCCAGCTTATGGGTTCACCTTTCCTTTAACTATAGAGAAAAGACATACATAAATGCCAAACCTATTGCTGAGGAAACAATTCTGGATGATCTTGATGATGAAAGTTGCAGCCTCCCGTTCGGTCATGTTGGGGCTGAATCTGTGTCTATACAGGAAAAACAACAACAGCACCACAAAAAATAGGAGTACAAATTAATGAGGTTTCTTTTGAGCATGACACAAATATGTTTCTGCAAAAGCTCAGCCCCATGTTGATTTCATTTGCTGCAAGTATGTAGCTCTTTCAAGACAACATGTACATAATAATCATATTTTAAAAGCACTTGTCTTTATTCTTACAGTGGAGGCTGAGGCTGCGAACTTTTGACCAGCTGAGTGGTAACAGCAGGTCTCTCTAGACAGCCACTGCCTCTAAAATACCTTAATACCTAGCAATGACTGTGAGTTCCAGCCCATTATACTTCATGAATTTGTGTTTATTTTTAGGAAAATGTAGTTAAGTTATATATAGGAAATACTGACTGCAGAACTATTCTGGAGGCATTAGCCTGAAGGGCTGCTTAAAATGTATGTGTTTGCATAAACTTTTGACGTTACAACAGTCCCAGTTCAGTACTGCATCTGCCAAACAAATTTGAAGTTGCTGCTCCTCAGATTTCAACACCACTTCAGACAGAACACATTACCTCTCATTAAAGCAGATCTTTTCTTTACGTTCTTGCTTTGGTAGTGCTAAGAACTTTAAGATAAAACATGTGCTCACGTAGTCACTTAAAAACAGTTTGAACCTAATCATATGAAAAGGCCTCTGAAAATCCTGCTTTTTGAAAAAAATATCCAAAAAAATCTTATGTTTCTATAACACTAAGAAATACAAGATATTTGAGTAGCATGACAACAACACTTGCTGCAGGAACTGTGACAATATACACGCTACAGAGAGCAAGCATTATGAATTCCAGTGCATATACATGCTGGCTTACTTTAAAAGCTTGATTGTCTGCCCTCGGAAACATGGCAGCCCTGTATCCAGCATTAATGTAACAAGTGAGACTACAGCATCCATGTAAGGCCTAGAACAAAAAAAAGAGGACAAAAAGGTTACAGCACTTGAACTTCTGCAGCTTTAGTAGGTAAAGCAGGCAGGTTGAGAAGCCTGAGGCTGGACTACTCAGTCCAGACTTTTCTGTAATTGAAACAACACATGTAATCGTCTCATATTTGTTGGCAGAGCTACATCATTGCTTGTGATCTCTTTAATTAAATTTCATTCCTTTATATTGGACTATGAGAGATTTAAAATGCTGCAAGATGAGGAGCCCTCGAGAAAGATTATATAAAGCAATACTTTGGGAAATAATACTACTTTGGCAACAGAAAGGTCCACCAGTGCATCAAAAGTGATACTACAGTAATTAGGAATCGGAAGATAATCTGTTACTCTACTACATAATTGTCTGCTACATCAGCTCAGCTTCCCTTCTTCCTCCTCTCCTCCCACTCAAAGGAGCTCCCACTAAATCTATCACTACTCTGCTACTGGAGTGACATTTCTGGCTTGACATAAAACTCCCTAGATTGCGCCACTTCAAGGAAGCAAATTGTGCTCAACTCCAAGACAGCCCCTTCTGGGGCTACTTGCTGAGTAAACTAATTCTGCAAGATAACATCAGTAATGTTCCACACTCGTGATGACAGAACAATCCCTTATCTGGGCTCTGTCATACTGTCCTCCTAACTATATACAACATCCACTTCACATCCATTTCGTACTCATTCTCCATGTTAAAGCAAAACTTGCAATGCCAAGTGGGAGCCCAAGCGAGAGCAGCCACAGGAACTTCTTGTGGCCTACAAGCATTCATGCTGGACCCTCAGCTCCTCGTCATCTTCCTCCTCCTTGTCCTCCTCCTATGATTCTTGTTTGCTTGATGTAAAGCATATTAAAGTTACATTTCTCTAACGTTACTGGCTGGCAATCATCGCTGAAAAGCACAGCTACAAAATCTCTAATATTTTACAAGAGAAATAGTAGCACTTTTTCCACATAATTAACTCTAGCTGAAATGGCGATTAATATGATTGTCTCAGTTGGGAAAACCAGGTTATGATTCTCCTGTAGCTTCTTGTTGCAAAGTTTTAATTAACAACATGCTAAATTGAAGAAAGATTATGATCACGTTTATAAATTGAATGTAATATATGATCTTCTCAAATGTCATGAGGTCAGAAAAAACCACAAAGTTAGGCAGCAAAATTTGTTTCATGCAGCAGTTTGACAGACTAAGACCCTCTACAGACTGCTGTTCATTATTATTTAACATCCCATCTGGTTTTTGTTGTGCAAGCACTTCCACTTTTAAGCAGTTAATAATGCTTTACCTGACTGCCAGATAGCCTCTGACACACATCTCCATAAACCATTTGAATGGAGTTGCTTCCATTTTTCCTCCCATTATCATCACCATCTCATCAGTCAGCTTAATGTCAGGCTCCCAGCCCAGATTACCACCAGGTGAGCTCTCAAACATGAATCCAAAATCTGTACATAAAAGATAAGCTGCTTCAGACATTCTGGTGGTTAGTTGTGCTTTCTTCTGTCAAAGCTGACAGAAGAAAGGAGGGGTGCATTTCATAGAATCATAGAATCATAGAATCACCAAGGTTGGAAAAGACCTAAAAGATCACCCAGTCCAACCGTTCACCTATTCCCAATAGCTCCTACTAAACCATGTCCCTCAACACAACATCCAGTCTTTCCTTGAACACCCCCAGGGTCGGTGATTCCACCACCTCCCTGGGCAGTCCATTCCAGTGCCTGACCACCCTTTCTGAAAAGTAATACTTCCTAATGTCCAGCCTGAATCTCCCCTGCCGTAGCTTGAAGCCATTCCCTCTGGTCCTATCACTAATGACACGAGAGAAGAGGCAGACCCCCAGCTCACTACAACCTCCCTTCAGGAAGTTATAGAGAGCAATGAGGTCTCCCCTGAGTCTCCTCTTCTCCAGGCTGAACATTCCCAGCTCCTTCAGCCTCTCCTCATATGGCCTGTGTTCCAGACCCCTCACCAGCTTTGTTGCCCTCCTCTGAACACGTTCCAGGGCCTCAATATCTTTCTTGCAGTGAGGGATCATTTCACATCATAATATCTATTTTCCTACCAGCATTTCAATTCCAAATAGAAAAAAAAGCTTTGATAAAGTATAAAAACACCAACAAAAGAATTATTTAACATTAAACAATACTCAAGGATGATGACATCAGATAAACAGGCTAAAACATCTGCAGTTCTAGAAAAACAAATCTAAAGCAGATGTTACAGCCTTATGCAATTATATGAATTTACTCATCAACTTTAGTTCACACCCAAGCAGTAAAGAAATGTGTATATGTGTATATGTATTCGTACATCCATACATATTTGTATACGCTTGTATATGTATGAATACATACAATCCACAGATGTGTATTCCCTCCCGAAGCTGGTAAAACCTTGCAAAACTGAAATTATGCAGGAGCAGCTAACACAAACACACATACAATATTAAAACGTCGGGTAAAACGTCCCACGTATTTAAAAGCTGAAATCTGATTAATCTCAAATTAAAATTCTATTAGCAGTATTTTACAGCAGAAGGAAAAGATGACTATGCCTGACCAATGTGAATGATGTGTCCCTTTTTGTCCAGCATGATGTTGCCATTATGCCTGTCTTTAATTTGGAGCAGAAAAAGGAGAAGACTATATGCAGCCATACTGCGGATGAAATTATAGCGAGCCTGTAAAAGCAAGAAGTCAAAGCAAATAAGAACACATAATTTAATAACTCACTCATCTCAGAAGCAGATACAGATGAACATTATTTTTCC